ACAGAAAATAAACGACCACTTAGGCGGCCCTCAAACAGGAGGCGCACATAAATCGAGCAGACGATAGGTACTGAATGCAGCCGAATTATGAAGGGCCGACGTAGTTGCACTCGGTGCGTGCATCCCAGCAATATCACTAAAACGCCCAATCTCCGTTTGGTCTTTCACGTCCAATCTCCGTTTGGTCTTGGTATTTTCGGTATGATTTGGGGCGTTTTTTACTACCAACATCAACTGAATGTAATGTTAATGTACTGTACTTATCACAAAATTGCAATGGTTGAGATAAGAGGGAGGGTAAGTGAAGGTGTTTCCCAGCAAATTATAAGGCTATTATTTATCAAAAACGTACCGTGTAGGTTACCGCCCATGATTACCACTTCTCTCGGCATTTTCGCGAAAGCTGGGTCGAGTTGGAGCGCCAGTGCAATATTAGTCAGAAGGCCTGGAAATAATTTCTTGGCGCAGTTCTTTTTGACAGAAGGAGTAAACTAGTTGACTCTGGCTCACTTTTGTCTTGGGTGAATTGTGATGCTAGAAATATTCCTGGGTAAAATGTGGTGCAGCGGGAATTATATGAAACATGCTGTGATTGTTTGAAAAGTGTAACGCGTTCTGTTTCACCAGTGGCATTTAGTAAACTCGAAGTAAGCTCAAAATAAACCAATGCAAATCAGTGTAACGTCGAGAGTCTTCCTAAAAAGTTCAATAAGTGCAACAGCCGCTGGTTTGTCTGGCACGAAAGATAACGCGTCCGTTGCGACTATCTGCAAAAATGCCAGTGCATAACTTCATTTTTTTTCGTTGCGCAACTAAAAAGACAGAAAAACGAAAATTAAGATGTTCCATTTGCTTAGAAAATATAATTGTGCATACAAACCTCCGGAAATGCATGCGGCTGATCACCGATACCGTCACGGCCGAAGAAATCTGACGCTTGTTCATTTTTTTCCGTTCTTGCAACAAGCGGTGCAGCAGCTCCTTTGTATACCGGCACCTAATAATCACTTTTCATAGAACACAGGTAGCAAATTCGTAAACACTCTGTATGGTCATTGCTTTACAGTTTGATGTGTAACGTTCGGGAGGAGGAGTGCCTGCTTGGCCGCAGGGTAAGCGCTCCGGCAGTTGTGGGAGTGCGCTCAACACCAAGCAACAAAACACAGCCCTTCATTAGTACAATCTCAGAAAAGTAATTAAAAAAGAATAAAATAAGCAACCAGTCCGGGATCCGCCCGGCAGCGACTCCAAGCTGCTAGGACAAACGCAACAGTTTCCAGCGGCAGCAGCTCCAAGCTGTCGTCGCGCATCTCCAAGTTTCACAAGACAAAACAATCACAATAACAATTTCATTTCCAATCACCACATTAATATCACGGAGGGGGAACACGAGCCAAGAGATGGGACATTTGCATATTACAGGAAACTAAAGAGCAACTAGACAAGGCGGAAGGGGGTTGAGCCTCCAACTTCGCTTCCCTGTTACTTGCTCCTTGTTCCTTTTGCAACACGCCACCGTTCGCTTGAGCTCGGTCTCCGAGCTTCCAATCTTCCTCTTTCTTCCTTTTTTCTCTTTTTTCTCTTTCTTTTTGCTCGAATCCTCATATCCTCCTTCATGTATTTCCATACGTTCGGCGCCTTCTATTCATTCCCAGTATAAACTTTCTATCAGGTACTTCGAGCGGAACTTTTCGCTAGTGATCAAACTGCACTTTGAAAGCTTGCTTTCTCCTCTCGATCAGTTGCACTACCGCACTATTATCCGTTAACCTCAAAATACGGTAGGGACCAACGTATTCGGGAACAAACTTGGGATGCCGTATCCTCGTCAATTCTGACGACATGTATACCATTACCTGTTCGCCCAAATGGAACTGCTCGGCCTTTACACGATTACGCTCGTCCTAATATCGCTTGGCCTCTTTTGCTCCTTATATGCTCCAAAACTCGATTTCGAATATTTTGAAGCCCCAGCAGCGGTTCCGAGCGATAGTCGTCCAAATTCTTTTATGTACCTGGTGAGTTGCTGCGCGCCACTCTCGGGCCAAATAGGATCGACCCGATAAAGCAGAAAATAGGGACTCTCATCTGTTCTGTCTTGTGGTATTATAACTTTACTAGACAGACGGCAATCTGCAATCCCAGTCCATGGGCGCAGTCGTACTCTTGGCCAGCATATTTGCCAGAGTTCGATTCATTCGCTCATTGAGACGATTTTCTCGGGGGTTGAAGCCAACCGTAAACTTCTGTTCCACGCTCCCCCCTCCTCTCTTCCCTCCCCACTCCCTTTCTCCCTCGCTTCCCCGAATAATCTCACTACTTCTTCCATCAGCACATTTTCAAACTCTATTTCTCGATCGGAAATAAAAAATTTCGGGCAGCGTCGATTCCGCGCTACCCAGTGCTCCCTAAACACTGATAACCTCGGAAGCGCTAAAGAAAATAAGTGCAGTATCAGGTCGCGAGATGACCAAAAGAATTTGAAAGAGGGACGATGCAGTAATAAGAGATGCATAGGGGCACCCAATGGCAATTGTGGGCCCTATAAAACTCCAAATAAGGTGGGGCGGCATTGACAGGCCCGTACCTATTTTTATGGAGCACCGGGAGGGACGCTGCCCGAAATTTCTTATTTCCGATCGAGAAACAGAG